AGACACACAGACACACACACACAGACACACACAGACACACACACACATACACACACAGACACACAGACACATACACACACACAGACACACACATACACACACAGACACAGACACACACAGACACACAGACACACACATACAGTACACACACAGACAGTACACACACAGACACACACACACATACACACACAGACACATACACACACACAGACACACACACACATACACACACAGACACATACACACACAGACACACACACACATACACACACAGACACATACACACACACAGACACACACACACACACACACATACACACACAGACACAGACACACACACACACACTCACACACATACACACACAGGTGTCTTTGTTCTGTATTATTTAAATTGTGATAGAAAACGTAGTATTTCCGTCACAAAAACACGCCCCGACCCTTCTGCCCAAATGCTCTTTTCTCCAACACGGTGAAGACTGTATGATCAGTGCGTGGCTGTTTTTAAGGCGGCGTTTCGCAGCTGACGACGTGTTTTATCAGTGCATTAAAACAGAGAGAGCTGTTCATGAAACTGCCTGAACATCTTTCCCTAAATAAATAACGCCGTGAGCTGGAGCTGGAGTCGGATGAATGACTTCCCGTTACATTCGTAAACCTCTGGTGCCAAGTCACTGCAGTGTTTACTAATCGCATCAGATGAAAGCCAGGACCACGCTCACATTAGCCAGGATGGAATTCACAACGGGACGCGAACCCATGGCCACAATCCAACAGTACATTTGTTTTTCAGCAATTTCTGAGCCAAGTTTAAAGCTTTACGAGTCCAAAAGAAAAGTGAGAAATAGAAATAGGCCCTGAACTCTTTGGAATAGTTTGAAATCCAACCAATTCTTTTACAGACCACCAAAAGAATTTCTCAACATCGAAATGAACCGAATAAAATAAAAATGAAGACGAAAAATGAACAAAAAACACTCACGAGCTGCAAATGTTTTGATAAAAATGTAGAATCTGGAGGTTATTTAATAAAGGTCCATCTATCTCTCTATCTATCTATCTATCTACTGTATCTATCTATCTATCTACTGTATCTATCTATCTATCTACTGTATCTATCTATCTATCTACTGCATCTATCTATCTATCTACTGCATCTATCTATCTATCTACTGCATATATCTATCTATCTACTGTATCTATCTATCTATCTACTGCATCTATCTATCTATCTACTGTATCTATCTATCTATCTACTGTATCTATCTATCTACTGTATCTACTGTATCTATCTATCTATCTACTGCATCTATCTATCTATCTACTGTATCTATCTATCTACTGTATCTATCTATCTACTGTATCTACTGTATCTATCTATCTATCTACTGTATCTATCTATCTATCTACTGTTCAGGCTGAAGAAGGAGTCCTATCGAGCCATGATGGTTCGGGGGACTCCTGAGGCAGCTGTCCAGTACCGGCAGGCCAAGCGTGCCGCTGCCCGGGCTGTTGCAGAGGCAAAAACCCGGGACTGGGAGGAGTTCGGAGAGTCCATGGAGCATGACTATCGGTCGGCCTCGAAGAGATTCTGGCAAACCATCCGGCGCCTCAGGAGGGGGAAGCACTTCTTTGCCAACACCATGTACGGTGCGGGTGGAGAGCTGCTGACCTCGACTGGGGATATTGTCGGGCGGTGGAAGGAATACTTTGAGGTTCTCCTCAATCCCCCCGTCACGTCCTCTGTTACAGAGGCAGAGGCTGAGGATGTTGGGGCGGGTACATCCATCTCCCTGGCTGAGGTCACCAAGGTGGTTGGTAGCCTCCATGGTGGCAAGGCTCCGGGTGTGGATGAGATCCGCCCTGATTATCTAAAGTCTCTGGATGTTGTAGGACTGTCTTGGCTGACACGTCTCTGCAACATCGCGTGGCGATCGGGGGCAGTGCCAATGGAGTGGCAGACCGGGGTGGTGGTCCCTCTCTACAAAAAGGGGGACCGGAGGGTGTGTTCCAATTATCGTGGGATCACACTCCTCAGCCTCCCCGGTAAGGTCTACTCCAAGGTACTGGAGAGGAGGTTACGGCCGATGGTCGAATCTCGGATCCAGGAGGAGCAGTGTGGTTTTCGTCCCGGTCGCGGAACACTGGACCAGCTCTATACTCTCCATCGGATACTCGAGGGTTCATGGGAGTTCGCCCAACCTGTCCACATGTGCTTTGTGGATTTGGAGAAGGCGTTCGACTGTGTTCCCCGGGGTGTCCTTTGGGGGGTTCTCCGGGAGTACGGGGTCGGAGGTCCTAAGTAAGTCAGACCTGTTCCCGGTGAATGTTGGCCTCCGACAGGGCTGCCCTTTGTCACCGGTTCTGTTCACTGTATTTATGGACAGAATATCTAGGCGCAGCCAGGGGTCGGAGGGGGTCCGGTTCGGAGACGATGTTGTCCTGTTGGCTCCAACGAACCAGGACCTGCAGCATGCACTGGGGCGGTTTGCAGCCGAGTGTGAAGCGGCTGGGATGAGAATCAGCACCTCCAAATCCGAGGCCATGGTGCTCGACCGGAAAAAGGTGCCTTGCCCTCTGCAGGTGGGTGGAGAGGTCCTTCCTCAAGTGGAGGAGTTCAAGTATCTCGGGGTCTTGTTCACGAGTGAGGGAAGAATGGAGCGTGAGATTGACAGGCGGATCGGTGCAGCGTGCGCAGTGATGCGGTCGCTGTATCGGACCGTTGTGGTGAAGAGGGAGCTGAGCCGAAAGGCAAAGCTCTCGATTTACCGGTCAATCTTCGTTCCCTCCCTCACCTATGGTCATGAGCTTTGGGTAATGACCGAAAGAACGAGATCGCGGATACAAGCGGTCGAAATGAGCTTCCTCCGCAGAGTGGCTGGGCGCTCCCTTAGAGATAGGGTGAGGAGCTCAGTCACACGGGAGGAGCTCGGAGTAGAACCGCTGCTTCTCCACGTCGAGAGGAACCAGTTGAGGTGGCTCGGGCATCTGTTCCGGATGCTTCCTGGACGCCTCCCTGGGGAGGTGTTCCGGGCACGCCCCACCGGGAGGAGGCCCCGCGGAAGACCCAGGACACGCTGGAGGGACTATGTCTCTCAGCTGGCCTGGGAACGCCTTGGGGTCCCCCCGGACGAGCTGGAGGAAGTGTGTGTGGATAGGGAAGTCTGGGCGTCTCTGCTTAGACTGCTGCCCCCGCGACCCGGCAACGGATAAAGCGGAAGAAAATGGATGGATGGATGGATCTATCTATCTATCTACTGTATCTATCTATCTATCTACTGTATCTATCTATCTATCTACTGTATCTACTGCATCTATCTATCTACTGTATCTATCTATCTATCTACTGCATCTATCTATCTATCTATTGTATCTATCTATCTATCTACTGCATCTATCTATCTACTGCATCTATCTATCTACTGTATCTATCTATCTACTGTATCTATCTATCTACTGTATCTATCTATCTATCTACTGCATCTATCTATCTATCTACTGTATCTATCTATCTATCTACTGTATCTATCTATCTATCTACTGCATCTATCTATCTATCTACTGTATCTATCTATCTATCTACTGTATCTATCTATCTACTGTATCTATCTATCTACTGTATCTACTGTATCTATCTATCTATCTACTCTATCTATCTATCTATCTACTGCATCTATCTATCTATCTACTGTATCTATCTATCTACTGTATCTATCTATCTACTGTATCTATCTATCTACTGTATCTACTCTATCTATCTATCTATCTACTCTATCTACTATCTATCTATCTATCTACTGTATCTATCTATCTACTGTATCTATCTATCTATCTACTGCATCTATCTATCTATCTACTGTATCTATCTATCTATCTATCTACTGCATCTATCTATCTATCTACTGTATCTATCTATCTACTGTATCTATCTACTGTATCTATCTATCTACTGTATCTATCTATCTACTGTATCTATCTATCTACTGTATCTATCTATCTACTGTATCTATCTATCTACTGTATCTATCTATCTAAAACCCAGTTAAGCCAAAACTACTGTCCTGTTGCAGCGGATAAAGCCGAAGAGAATGGATGGATTTGACTTCCAGAAGCACACGGTGGTCGCAGCAGTCTCAGCGGAGAGGCCCAGACTTGCCTCTTCCCTCACACCTCCTCCAGCTCATCTGGGGGAATCCTAAGGGGTTTCCAGTCGTTACCCAAAGCTCAGGACCAGCAATGAAGGTGTGAACATAGATTGGTCGGGAAATCGAGAGCTTTGACTGCAGACGCTGATCCCTCTTCACCGCAACAGTTTGATACTTAAATAATACAGTTGATTGGAGGAGAACCTAAACCATATGTTTGGTTTGTCCAAACTAAAAGAGCAAGATCGGTCCTCTCTATTGAAAGATCAGATGGTCCCACAGTGGGGAAATGTCAGTGTTGCATCGCCAGCTTCAGAACAGTAGGATTGAGGAGCACACAGCACAAGAGGAGAGAACAATAACTCCATAAAACTCTAACTCATAAAAAAAAGCAGAAAAAAATCTATCTTTTGCAAAATAAGGAAAAAAGTCTCAAATCTCCAACTTTAGCGAGATGAAGAAGCAAGACTTAGAGGAAGAGGTAGGAGGATGTTCTACTTCCAGGTGGATCATCAAGACTATTGGTAATCCCACCTGTCAATCATTCTGGTGGCGTGTTCGTCCAATAAAAGCAGAGAGAGGGCGGTTCTTTCCTACAACTTTAAGTACAAAACCCCGACTTAAAGATGCAACAGAAAGTGTGTATAAATTAAAGATAGAAGCACTCAGTTCACAGAGATAGGAGTTAAAGAAGTTGATTTGCTCATTTATATTTAACATTATTATTAGGAAATATTATGTTGATTTATTTAAATATTAATTTTTGGACAGATAAATGCTTAATGTTTCCTGAAACATCAGAAAACTTCCCTGGACTCTCCCGTTTGTCTGAGTAGAACTGTTATTACACAAACACACCTTCACAGAACCATCCGGACCCTCTGAAGTGTCCCCCGGGGGCCCGACCCTCTGAAGTGTCCCGGGGGCCCGACCCTCTGAAGTGTCCCGGGGGCCCGACCCTCTGAAGTGTCCCGGGTGCCCGACCCTCTGAGGTGTCCCGGGGGCCCGACCCTCTGAGGTGTCCCCTGGGGGCCCGACCCTCTGAAGTGTCCCCTGGGGGCCGCTCAGACTCTTCTGCCTTAACTGTTGGACAGACTTCACTCTCCGGGTCCCATCTGTGAGTCGTTATTCTGGGCCTGGCTTTGGTGTGGATGTAGGAACAGGGATCCAAGAAACTTTTTATAACTTATTCTACTTTTCAAACAGGAAAGAAAACATGAGGAGCTTCTTCTTCTGCAGAGACACAGAGTCACTGAAGCTAGCATTAGCATTAGCATTAGCATTAGCTCCAGAGGCGAGCGCTAACGCAGCTGGAGCTAACAGGATGTGGGTCTGTCATGTACCACCACAAAGGTATACTTTAGATCTGTTTCTGTATTTTAAAGACCACAACAAAGTAACAGACACACACAGACAGACGCAGACACACAGACAGACAGACAGACAGACAGACAGACACAGACAGACGCAGACACACAGACAGACAGACAGACAGACAGACAGACACAAAAAGACACACACAGACACACAGACAGACACACACAGACAGACACACACAGGCAGACACACACAGACAGACACACACAGGCAGAGACAGACAGATAGACACAAACAGAGACACACACAGACAGACACAGACACACACAGACAGACATACACAGACAGACAGACACAGACACACAGACACACACAGACAGACACAGACACACCCAGGCAGACACAGACACACAGACAGACACACACACACAGACAGACACACACACACAGACAGACACACACACACAGACACACACAGACAGAGACAGACACTTTATTGATCCCCCGTAGGAGAAATGCAGGTGTCCAGCAGCAGAAGACTCATCCAGGTTTGTTGTACAGTCTGACAGCTGAAGGAACAAAGGTTCTCTCAAAAAGTTCCGTTCGGCAGCGCAGTGATAGAAGCCTGTTGCTACGGTTACTCCTCTGAGCGGCCATATTGGTGATGTGAAAGCATGATCATACTACTGTGTTTCCTTTCTACCTCCCACAGCTCTGTGCCTGTTTACATCCAACCAACTTCAGCACTTTCTACGCTCTTCTACAATGACGCTCAAATTGTAATTTTGTGGTTTTTGTGACAATGACAATAAATAAATCATACTTTAGAGTAGCACTTGGCTAACGCTAACCCAAGCCACTGTAAAACCATCAACATTAGAGCCACCGTCTTTGGAATTAGCCACAAAAAATAGATGTATCTGTTTAATCTTTCAATAGGAAAATCAAATGAAAATAGTAGTTTTTAGCTCAAGTTATAAGCATTAAATTTAGGCCAATGACAAGTGAATTGATTAATCACAACTAATACATGGTTGAAATAGCTTCTAACTGATTTAATGAACGTGTTTTGAATCTCCCATTTACAAACATGTGCTGAGAAGGTGTTATGGCCCGAATTCTATTTTTACTGATGAATTAAATGAATAACGTGTGTACAAAGTATTAGTCATCAGTATGAAGAGGTTGTCACTCGATGATGGCCGTGTAGAACTGCAGCTTGGCTTTCCTGAGCTGCCGCAGGAAGTACATCCTCTGCTGGGCCTTCTTGATGAGGAGCTGATGGTCGGCTCCCACTTGAGGTCCTGGGTGATGGTGGTGCCCAGGAAACGGAAGGACTACACAGAGGTGATGGGGGAGTCCATCACGGAGGGTGGGGGCGGGGGGACAGTGCTCTTCCTGAAGTCCACAGTCATCTCCACTGTCTTCTGGGCGTTCAGCTCCAGGTTGTTACCACTGCACCAGGACACCAGCCGGTCCACCTCCCTCCTGTAGGAGACACCAGGACACCAGCCGGTCCACCTCCCTCCTGTAGGAGACACCAGGACACCAGCCGGTCCACCTCCCTCCTGTAGGAGACACCAGGACACCAGCCGGTCCACCTCCCTCCTGTAGGAGACACCAGGACACCAGCCGGTCCACCTCCCTCCTGTAGGAGACACCAGGACACCAGCCGGTCCACCTCCCTCCTGTAGGAGACACCAGGACACCAGCCGGTCCACCTCCCTCCTGTAGGCGGACTCATCGTTGTTGGAGATGAGTCCAATGAGGGTGGTGTCGTTTGCGAACTTGATCAGCTTCACGGAGTCGTGGCTGGAGGTGCAGTGGTTGGTGTACAGGGAGAAGAGCAGGGGAGAAAGAACACAGCCCTGTGGGGCTCCTGTATTTATAATCCGAGAGTCCGAGACATTCTTCCCCAGACGCACTCGCTGCTTCCTGTCCGTCAGGAAGTCAGTGATCCACCTGCAGGTGGAATCGGGCACGTTGAGCTGGGAGAGCTTGTCCTGGAGCAGGGATGGCAGGATTGTGTTGAAGGCAGAGCTGAAGTCCACGAACAGGACCCTGGCGTAGGTCCCCGGGGAGTCCAGGTGCTGTAGGATGTGGTGGAGGGCCAGGTTAATGGCGTCGTCTACAGATCTGTTGGCTCTGTAGGCGAACTGCAGGGGGTCCAGGAGGGGGGAGGTGAGGGACTTGAGATGGGAGAGAACCAGGCGTTCAAATGACTTCATGACGACAGACGTAAGTGCTACAGGTCTGTAGTCATTGAGTCCTGTGATCCTGGGCTTCTTCGGGATGGAGACAATGATGGAGGATTTGAAGCAGGCCGGGACATGGCAGGACTGCAGAGAGGTGTTGAAAATGTCACTGAACACAGGAGTAAGCTCACTGGGGCAGTGTCTCAGAGTGGCCGGAGACACGTGGTCCGGGCCAGGAGCTTTGCGGGGGTGCAGCCTCAAGAAGAGTTGTTTAGTCTCTTTAGGGGCTATTGTTAGGCTGGGGGCAGGGCTGATGGGTGGGTCGTTAGAGTAGTGGGGGGTGGGGGAGGGAGAGGTGTCAGGGGCAGCATCAAAGCGACTGAAAAATAAGTTCAGATCGTCAGCTAGCTTGTGGTCGTCAGCACAGGGGGGGGCTTTGGGTTTGTAGTTGGTGATCTCCCGTAGGCCCCTCCAGACAGAAGCAGTATCGTTGTTACCAAACTGCTCCTGTAGTCGTTCTCTGTGCCGGGACTTGGCTGCTTTCAGTTCTTTCCTGAACTGATATTTAGCTGCTTTGTAGCCGCTGCGGTCCCCCTCCCTGAAAGCAGACTCCTTTGCTTTCCTGAGCTGCCGGAGTTTAGCAGTGAACCAGGGTTTGTCATTGTTATAGATGACCCTGGTCCTTGTTGGAATGATGCTATCCTCACAGAAGTGAATGTATGACGTCACAGTGTCCGTATATTCATCCAAACTGTCTGTGGCAGCTCTGAAAAGGTCCCAGTCTGTAGATTCCATGCGCGCAGCTCTTCCACAGCTTCATCAGACCACACTTTGGAGCTCCTCACTGCAGGTTTCGAGAGCTTTAGTCTCTGTCTGTAAGCCGGAACCAGATGTATCAGGACACTGTTGTTACTCTGTGAAGGACACTGTTACTCTGTGAAGGACACTGTTGTTACTCTGTGAAGGACACTGTTACTCTGTGAAGGACACTGTTGTTACTCTGTGAAGGACACTGTTACTCTGTGAAGGACACTGTTACTCTGTGAAGGACACTGTTACTCTGTGAAGGACACTGTTACTCTGTGAAGGACACTGTTGTTACTCTGTGAAGGACACTGTTACTCTGTGAAGGACACTGTTGTTACTCTGTGAAGGACACTGTTACTCTGTGAAGGACACTGTTACTCTGTGAAGGACACTGTTACTCTGTGAAGGACACTGTTACTCTGTGAAGGACACTGTTATGTTACTCTGTGAAGGACACTGTTGTTACTCTGTGAAGGACACTGTTACTCTGTGAAGGACACTGTTGTTACTCTGTGAAGGACACTGTTACTCTGTGAAGGACACTGTTACTCTGTGAAGGACACTGTTACTCTGTGAAGGACACTGTTACTCTGTGAAGGACACTGTTGTTACTCTGTGAAGGACACTGTTACTCTGTGAAGGACACTGTTGTTACTCTGTGAAGGACACTGTTACTCTGTGAAGGACACTGTTACTCTGTGAAGGACACGGTTACTCTGTGAAGGACACTGTTACTCTGTGAAGGACACTGTTACTCTGTGAAGGACACTGTTACTCTGTGAAGGACACTGTTACTCTGTGAAGGACACTGTTACTCTGCTGTCACCGCCAAAAACAGCTACAAATACATCAGATGTTCATTTTAGGACATGTCTGGTTTTCTGCAGTAAACAGGACAATGATAATCCACATTCACCACGATTATGGACATTGGTCTCTGTCCCATGTGACCTACGGGGGTCATGTGACCTACGGGGGTCATGTGACCTACGGACTCCATGATCTCTCTCCACATGTATGTAGTTTACGAGCGATCGGACTTATTCACAAGCACACAATAAACTAAACTTATGCTTAGACCAGGTGAGTCCAGCTTCACCTGGTCTTCACCTGGTCTTCACCTGGTCTTCACCTGGTCTGTGTCAGGGGTTGAATGGTCGGCTCTTCTTCTTCGTCCCTGTTAGATTCCATCTTAATGAAAGCTTTGTGCTGCTGCCTCCTCAGTGTGTGTCCTTTGAGCGTTTGGATTTCAGTTTGTCTGTGGCTCTTGTTTGTGAAGGATATTTGTTGTTTTTCTGTCTCTGAGCCAAAGAGGAGAATGTAAATATGTCCATGCACATTATAGTAAGTAAGTAAGCTTTATTTATATACCGCCTTTCAAAGACCAGAGTCACAAAGCGGTTTACAATTGTTATTTTTGGGCATTTGTCTCTCACTCCACACAGAGATGGGAGCGGGGCCAGTACAGGAGGCACATGCTAGAACTATTGTACATATTTTTAGTGGTAGGGGAAACCGGAGTACCCGGAGGAAACCTACGCAGACACGGGGAGAACATGCAAACTCCACTCAGAAAGGCCCTGGTCCGGCCGGGATTCGAACCCAGGAACTTCTTGCTGAGAGGCGAGAGTGCTATCCACTCAGCCACCGTAATAACATAGAGCTGTAGTAACAGCTATGTACATATTCTGTTAGTTATTTGGATCCAGAAAGGTCTTTGGACGTGGATTTTTTATACATTTGACCAAAACAAAGCTGAAGTGATGCCCCTGGAGAACCTCTTCATACTGATGACTAATACTTTGTACACACGTTATTCATTTAATTCATCAGTAAAAATAGAATTCGGGCCATAACACCTTCTCAGCACAGGTTAATGGCGTCGTCTACAGATCGTCTACACCTCCTCCATCACATCCTCCATCACCTCCTCCATCACCTCCTCCATCACATCCTCCATCACCTCCTCCATCACCTCCTCCATCACCTCCTCCATCACCTCCTCCACCACCTCCTCCATCACCTCCTCCATCACCACCTCCATCACCTCCTCCATCACCTCCTCCATCACCTCCTCCATCACCTCCTCCGTCACCTCCTCCATCACCTCCTCCATCACCACCTCCATCACCTCCTCCATCACCTCCTCCATCACCTCCTCCATCACCTCCTCCATCACCTCCTCCATCACCTCCTCCATCACCTCCTCCATCACCTCCTCCATCACCTCCTCCACCACCTCCTCCATCACCTCCTCCATCACCACCTCCATCACCTCCTCCATCACCTCCTCCATCACCTCCTCCATCACCTCCTCCATCACATCCTCCATCACCTCCTCCATCACCTCCTCCATCACATCCTCCATCACCTCCTCCATCACCTCCTCCATCACCTCCTCCATCACCTCCTCCACCACCTCCTCCATCACCTCCTCCATCACAACCTCCATCACCTCCTCCATCACCTCCTCCATCACCTCCTCCATCACCACCTCCGTCACCTCCTCCATCACCTCCTCCATCACCTCCTCCATCACCTCCTCCATCACCTCCTCCATCACCTCCTCCATCACCTCCTCCATCACCTCCTCCATCACCTCCTCCACCACCTCCTCCATCACCTCCTCCATCACCACCTCCATCACCTCCTCCATCACCTCCTCCATCACCTCCTCCATCACCTCCTCCATCACCTCCTCCATCACCTCCTCCATCACCTCCTCCGTCACCGTGTGGTTCGCTGGAGCCACAGTCAGGGACAAACAGAGACTACAGTGCATTGTGCGCTCTGCAGAGGAAGTGATCGGCCGCAGCCTTCCATCGCTGCAGGACCTGTACGTCGCCCGAGCTCGAGGCCGGGCTGGTCGTATCACAGCCGACCCCTCTCACCTGCACATGGACTATTCCAACCACTCCCCTCTCACCTGCACATGGACTATTCCAACCACTCCCCTCTCACCTGCCCATGGACTATTCCAACCACTCCCCTCTCACCTGCACATGGACTATTCCAACCACTCCCCTCTCACCTGCACATGGACTATTCCAACCACTCCCCTCTCACCTGCACATGGACTATTCCAACCACTCCCCTCTCACCTGCACATGGACTATTCCAACCACTCCCCTCTCACCTGCACATGGACTATTCCAACCACTCCCCTCTCACCTGCACATGGACTATTCCAACCACTCCCCTCTCACCTGCACATGGACTATTCCAACCACTCCCCTCAGGCAGGAGGCTGCGGTCCATCAGGACCAGAACCTCCCGCCACAAGAACAGTTTCTTCCCCTCTGCTGTTGGACTCTTGAACACTTCTTAACCTGTCCCCCCGCCCTTTATAAAGTCACTTTACTGCCCATCATACGTCACTTTACTTCACTGTACTGCTGTCACCTTACATTGTGTGCACCATGTGCACTTGGATATTGTAAATAGTAACTGTAACTCTATTTTAAATTAAAATTTATTCCTTAGAAGTGTTTTTTATTCTTATTTTTATTATCTCTTTTTGACTGTTGCACTGAGCCAAAGCAATTTCCAAGTCTGTGACCTCCTGTTACTTACGTGGCAATAAAAATGATTCTGATTCTGATTCACAGAGTAACAGTGTCCTTCACAGAGTAACAGTGTCCTTCACAGAGTAACAGTGTCCTTCACAGAGTAACAGTGTCCTTCACACCTGCAGTGGGACGTAGGAGGATGTTTATGTGAATAGCACCTGGCACCGAGCGCTTCTATCGCCTCAAAAGGAGCGACATCAGGAGGATTTATGAGCCGAGTTTGTCCAGTCTGTGTTCGTGACATTTTTACTGTGAATTATCCTTCATTATCTCCTTTATTATCCTCAGAACAACCCAGACTGAACAGACATGATTCACTCAGCAGCTACATAGCACACACAGAGACACACACTCACACACACACACACTGAGAGACACACAGACACACACACACACAGAGACACACACAGATACACAGAGACACACACAGACACACACAGATACACACAAATACAGATACACATGTCCAGTGCGTCTGAAGCAGCTGTGTCCAGTGCGTCTGAAGCAGCTGTGTCCAGTGCGACTGAAGCAGCTGTGTCCAGTGCGTCTGAAGCAGCTGTGTCCAGTGCGACTGAAGCAGCTGTGTCCAGTGCGACTGAAGCAGCTGTGTCCAGTGCGACTGAAGCAGCTGTGTCCAGTGCGACTGAAGCAGCTGTGTCCAGTGCGTCTGAAGCAGCTGTGTCCAGTGCGTCTGAAGCAGCTGTGTCCAGTGCGTCTGAAGCAGCTGTGTCCAGTGCGTCTGAAGCAGCTGTGTCCAGTGCGACTGAAGCAGCTGTGTCCAGTGCGACTGAAGCAGCTGTGTCCAGTGCGACTGAAGCAGCTGTGTCCAGTGCCACTGAAGCAGCTGTGTCCAGTGCGACTGAAGCAGCTGTGTCCAGTGCGTCTGAAGCAGCTGTGTCCAGTGCGACTGAAGCAGCTGTGTCCAGTGCGACTGAAGCAGCTGTGTCCAGTGCGACTGAAGCAGCTGTGTCCAGTGCGTCTGAAGCAGCTGTGTCCAGTGCGTCTGAAGCAGTTGTGTCCAGTGCGTCTGAAGCAGCTGTGTCCAGTGCGACTGAAGCAGCTGTGTCCAGTGCGACTGAAGCAGCTGTGTCCAGTGCGACTGAAGCAGCTGTGTCCAGTGCGACTGAAGCAGCGGTGTCCAGTGCGACTGAAGCAGCTGTGTCCAGTGCGACTGAAGCAGCTGTGTCCAGTGCCACTGAAGCAGCTGTGTCCAGTGCGTCTGAAGCAGCTGTGTCCAGTGCGTCTGAAGCAGCTGTGACCAGTGCGACTGAAGCAGCTGTGTCCAGTGCGACTGAAGCAGCTGTGTCCAGTGCGACTGAAGCAGCTGTGTTCAGTGCGACTGAAGCAGCTGTGTCCAGTGCGACTGAAGCAGCTGTGTTCAGTGCGACTGAAGCAGCTGTGTTCAGTGCGACTGAAGCAGCTGTGTCCAGTGCGACTGAAGCAGCTGTGTCCAGTGCGACTGAAGCAGCTGTGTCCAGTGCGACTGAAGCAGCTGTGTCCAGTGCGACTGAAGCAGCTGTGTTCAGTGCGACTGAAGCAGCTGTGTCCAGTGCGACTGAAGCAGCTGTGTCCAGTGCGACTGAAGCAGCTGTGTCCAGTGCGTCTGAAGCAGCTGTGTCCAGTGCGTCTGAAGCAGCTGTGTCCAGTGCGACTGAAGCAGCTGTGTCCAGTGCGACTGAAGCAGCTGAAGCAGAGCCTCTTCGTCAGACCCTCCTCATCCTCACTCCAATCCTTCTTTGATTTGATCATTTCACAAACGACTGACGCTCGTTACTGAAGAGTCTTTGAGCTTAATTAAATGTTTCTTTGATTCGTGCCAAATCTGAGGAAATTACACGGTGTGTTTCTTTCATCAGTGCGTTCTCTGAATAAGTACTAATACTTACAGTACCTAACATTATAACACAGCAGACAGTTCAAAGAAGACCCAGACTGGTTTAGCCAAGCTTTAAATAAACTAATATGAGATTTCATAACACTTTGAAGCAACTTTTGTTCAAGTTAAACTCATCATTCTATCAATGTGCAGAAGCCTGTACTTTTCCCTTGTTGTGTCTATCTGAAGGCCAAGCTACATGGCACCGTGGCAGCTGCTGATTGGAGGTCTCCATGCCAACGCTCTGTATAATACACTTGCATTCTGTTGTTCGTGTTGTTCGTGCTGTCTCTACCATCGACAATAAAACATGTCTTCTGTCTGAATTTAAGACGCGACCCCAGACTTTGTCATCTTCTTCACTAACAATAAAACAGTAATATTTACATATGGGAATAATCAATTTAGAATAACTTTGATATCTGGAGTAAGACTGAAGTTAGTATTTACCGTGTGTTTGAGAAGATTAATCCGGGAAATATATAAATCTGTGGTTTAGGACACAGGGATGATCTTATTCACTGAAACAGGATTATAAATGATTGAATGAAACTATTGGATTTCCTTGGTCTTCCTTCCTGGTCAAACAATATCCAGCACAATTCATTTCACCAAAACTAATCATAGATGCTGACAGACTCTCTCTGTTCGAGGCGGTGCAACACAGGAATAGCAGTGTTTGATGGAGCGCCGACTGGACTCCCCTTTAGGTTTATAAATAGCCGTGGAGCTCCTTCTGTCACTCAGTCTTCTCTAACTCGTCTCATCCGGGATTCTCTCAGCCACAGTTTGCTCAGCGTCGCGATGGCTTCATACAAAAACGATTTATTCATTTATGCATAGTCTACATGTTCCCTGAACCGGGCCAGTCCAGAACCGGAGCCGGTGGGAGGGAGGAGGACATTTGCATTTGAATGAAGAGGTTTTGGGCCATGATTGAAATCGCTGCAGATGTATACGAGGCTGCTGCAAGACGGCTGCTTTCAAAGACCAGCGCTGTGTCTGGAAAAGTGAGCGCTAAAGGGTCTGATGTATTCACTGTTATCTGTGAAATGCTAATGAGAGAAAGAGCCAACGAAGTGTCAGTGTGAAAGCTGCTCAAAGTCATTAAAAACATCCGGATTTTAGACTGTCCGCTGCCAGGGAGTTAAAGAAGCTATACGCAATTTTTTTAATGAGTTCATAAAAATGCTTATTACTACATACAAGTTGTTTTATAATCCGTACTTTAATGTAAAACTTGAGCTCATTGATTCTGCTGTGGATGAATTAAAAAGTGCTGAGTAGAGACTTTAGCGTGACGCCCGCTCTCCTCCAATCACAGAACAGGCTGCGTCCTCTAGCCTCTACAGCGCTGCTAAACACAGTAGCATGTTAGCATAAGTGGCTATAACTCCTCTGGCTGTAACTGCAGACACAACAAAACAGCCCAAACCACACAACAGTGAGGAAGAGAAGAGGGAACTAAAGCCACAACATGATCAAAGAAGAAACCAAGCCCTGAACAGAGCTAGCTTACATCGTATCCTCTGGAGAGACTGGTCTGAGGGAGAGACCTGCGGGACCGCCTCGGACTATCTGCGCTCGGACTATCTATGCTCGGACTATCTATGCTCGGACTATCTACGCTCTGACTATCTACGCTCGGACTATCTACGCTCGGACTATCTACGCTCGGACTATCTACGCTCGGACTATCTACTATCTACGCTCGGACTATCTACTATCTACGCTCGGACTATCTACGCTGGGACTATCTACGCTCGGACTATCTACGCTGGGACTATCTACGCTGGGACTATCTACGCTGGGACTATCTACGCTGGGACTATCTACGCTCGGACTATCTACGCTCGGACTATCTACGCTCGGACTATCTACGCTCGGACTATCTGCGCTCGGACTATCTACGCTCGGACTATCTGCGCTCGTACTATCTACGCTGGGACTATCTACGCTCGGACTATCTACGCTCGGACTATCTACGCTCGGACTATCTACGCTCGGACTATCTGCGCTCGGACTATCTACGCTCGGACTATCTGCGCTCGTACTATCTACGCTGGGACTATCTGCGCTCGGACTATCTATGCTCGGACTATCTATGCTCGGACTATCTACGCTCTGACTATCTACGCTCGGACTATCTATGCTCGGACTATCTACGCTCGGACTATCTACGCTCGGACTATCTACTATCTACGCTCGGACTATCTACTATCTACGCTCGGACTATCTACGCTGGGACTATCTACGCTCGGACTATCTACGCTGGGACTATCTACGCTGGGACTATCTACGCTGGGACTATCTACGCTGGGACTATCTACGCTCGGACTATCTACGCTCGGACTATCTACGCTCGGACTATCTACGCTCGGACTATCTGCGCTCGGACTATCTACGCTCGGACTATCTGCGCTCGTACTATCTACGCTGGGACTATCTACGCTCGGACTATCTACGCTCGGACTATCTACGCTCGGACTATCTGCGCTCGGACTATCTGCGCTCGGACTATCTGCGCTCGGACTATCTGCGCTCGGACTATCTGCGCTCGGACTATCTACGCTCGGACTATCTACGCTCGGACTATCTACGCTCGGACTATCTACGCTCGGACTATCTGCGCTCGGACTATCTACGCTCGGACTATCTGCGCTCGGACTATCTACGCTCGGACTATCTACGCTCGGACTATCTGCGCTCGGACTATCTGCGCTCGGACTATCTACGCTCGGACTATCTAAACTCGGACTATCTACGCTCGGACTATCTACGCTCGGACTATCTACGCTCGGACTATCTACGCTCGGACTATCTGCGCTCGGACTATCTGCGCTCGGACTATCTACGCTCGGACTATCTACGCTGGGACTATCTGCGCTCGGACTATCTACGCTCGGACTATCTACGCTCGGACTATCTACGCTCGGACTATCTGCGCTCGGACTATCTGCGCTCGGACTATCTACGCTCGGACTATCTGCGCTCGGACTATCTACGCTCGGACTATCTACGCTCGGACTATCTGCGCTCGGACTATCTACGCTCGGACTATCTGCGCTCAGACTATCTGCGCTCGGACTATCTACGCTCGGACTATCTACGCTCGGACTATCTACGCTCGGACTATCTACGCTCGGACTATCTACGCTCGGACTATCTGCGCTCGGACTATCTACGCTCGGACTATCTGCGCTCGGACTATCTGCGCTCGGACTATCTACGCTCGGACTATCTACGCTCGGACTATCTACGCTCGGACTATCTGCGCTCGGACTATCTACGCTCGCACTATCTACGCGACTATCTACGCTCGGACTATCTGCGCTCGGACTATCTACGCTCGGACTATCTACGCTCGGACTATCTACGCTCGCACTATCTGCGCTCGGACTATCTACGCTCGCACTATCTACGCGACTATCTACGCTCGGACTATCTACGCTCGGACTATCTGCGCTCGGACTATCTACGCTCGCACTATCTACGCGACTATCTACGCTCGGACTCTCTGCGCTCGGACTATCTACGCTTGAACCATCTACGCTCAGACTATCTACGCTCGGACTATCTACGCTCGGACTATCT